TTACAGAGGGAGCTTGCTATTTTTAAGGCTGTTCTTAAAACATTTGAAAGTCTTCTGTGAAACAATTTCTATGGGCTTGTTCTTTTCTTTAACTGACTCCTTTAAAAAGCTCTGGAAAACAAATACACAGGAAAAAAATGAAAATATGTTAAAATAAGGAATAAAGCAGTTACTGAAGTGTAATAATCCTGGTTTATAGCACACTTTCCATTTAAATTGTTTTTATTAGAGATAAACCTGTTAAGCATTGAGGAATTAAGTGCTGAATAGAGAAGGTTGTTTCGCTGCTGTATAAATGAAGGATCCCAGTATGCAGCAAAGAGTACAGCTGGTTTTATGCGTGAATTATTTGCCAGTTTGAAGGGTTCTGGTTACTTTGGCATCTGATATAAAAATGACGATTTGTTTGTCGTTGAGAGGGATGCTATTTTTTTCAGAGGGGCAAGAGAGATTTTAGCGCTGGGATTTGTAGGTATTGTGTGGGCTTTCTCATCGTCCTTACGCCTGGTTTGGTAGAAGGAACTCAAGGAGAAAATGAAGCAGAGAGATTTTCGGGCATTTCTTGGCACTGCTAGTGATACGCAGACTTCTGGCACGCGGCACTTTGGGACAATATTGAGAGGCAGCAGGCTGCGACTCCAAGTATCAAAAGTCAGAAATGGTGTGAAACACTCCTCGTTTGGGAGGGTTATGGGGGAGAGGAAAATTCAATATAGCGCTAAGTCTCAGCATCTCCTTTCAGACGGCTGGTCCTGGAAAATTTCATTCAAAGACTGCAAATTGGAAGTCCTCGCAGTCTCTCTGTCGATCCTTGAGTAAAGGTGACTTTGGAGATTCGTGACAGTGGAGGAAGGTCTTGTTTTATTCACTCGACAGAAGTGCAACACAAGGGGAAGGGAGAAAGAACAGATCTGTGCGGAAAATGTCACTCGGGCTGTAACCTGAGCCCTTAGCGAACCGTGCCTTTCGGAGGGTTTGGTGACCCTCCGAAAATCCTTGCTCTCTGGCTGCTATTATTGTAGCCAATTTCCAACTAAAATAAGTCTTTTGTCATCAGCAGCCATGCCGCCCCTCGCTGAGAAGAAACAAAACTTGTGCGTGGCAGCGAGGGCGGCCAAGCTGAAGGTCAGAGTGCAGAGGCGGATCGCAGCATCCCCGGGGCCGGGGCTGGATCTCACCCGTGGGACCGGCTATGCATCAACTGGGGAGACTGCCAGTGACCTCTGGAGACAGACCCCAGGCGAGAAGCCTAAGAGAAAACATCCTAGTAAAATGCAAATTGGAGAAAGAGGGTTTCCTACTCCTCTTTGGGGTTATGCAGGTGGAATCGCTGGGTTTTTTTCTTGCTTTTGGAGACACAGCAGAAAGTACAATCTCGTGTATCCATAAGGGCAAGGAAAAGTTAACTTGAAAACAACAACAAATACTTTAAACGTCTGTGTTTGCCCAACTGCTCAAACATTTCTTCCATACCAGATCCTTCCCTTGTGGAAAAAAAAAAAAAGGCAAAAAGAAGTAACCCAAAGCATTGTTTTGCAGAGTTCTCGGCTCTCCTTGCACAAGGAGATGAGTGCAACTTGTACACTGAGGGGTCTCATGTTGTTTGTGCAGCTCTTTAGGGGAAAAAAAACCCAAATCAAAAAAAAACCTTCCACATGGGAGCAAAGGTGCCAATGCATAGAGCACTGGTATGGGGAAAAATACTTTGTGCGAGTCTTTAAGTCTGTGCAGGTCTTTACTCACACGAGTAAGGTTATGCGGCTGTCTTAATCGTTAACTTCAGTTTTATGCTGAGTCGTGTTTTGAGAATACTACATTTGAGTAGTGCTTCATACGCAAATGGGGTTTTTTAGATCCTGATTCCTCTGAACTTTTAAAAATTGGAGTGATTTAGGGTTTCTTTCTCTTGAGACAGGCGGCTGTGAACATAGGGGAAAAGGGGCAGTGAGATTTTGCCTGTTAGAATTTCTGTTCTGTCATTTTTGCTGGTGTTACGTCAGCCTGGCGCTTTGGAAATTCAGAGAGTCATCAAAAGATCTTGGCCCTTCTATCAAAGAAAAAAACAGAGAGTATGAAAAAGTTATCGCTGTGCCCGTATGTTTCTGTAGCAACTACTAATTCGCAATTTTGCTTGCACAGATTTCTCAAATGCAATGTATAAACATAACTACAGTAATAGTTTTAATCTGATGGGTTCTTACAAATTCCAGGTTTGGGATGCAGGAAGAAAACTTGAAAGTGAATACTTTTTTTTTTTTTTTTTAATGCATAGTGGTTTGGAGTCTACTATAATGCAAAGTAAAGCATTCTGTTATAAAGGCAGGGAGGATGGGACAGAAGGTTAAAGGGCATCCTGGAAACAAACAGCTGGACCAGTTTATTTAAACAGATACAAGGATGGGGAGCTGACCTCCGTTTGACTTCGGGTGGGAGGAGCGAGAATGTCATTTTATTACTTTGCCCAGAAGGAAAATGTTCTTGCGTCTGAATTCCCCCCCGAAGACATCCAAACACTGGGCTGTTTGGCAGGATTGCTACTTATAGAAAATACTTACGCGAACGTGTAGGAAGAAGATAACTGTTAAGTACCTGTGTGTAAAATGGTCTTAAAGCAGATAGCCCGAGTGATAGCGTGGGGCAAACAGGTGAGGATATGTTTTACCATAGGCATAGCTTGTGGATAATTATTGGTAAATTCTAGCTATATAATTTATTATTCTAGCTGTATAGTTAATTATTATGAGACACCCCTCTGTTCTTACTAAAAGCGCTCGTAGTTTGGGGGAGAAGGATGAGAAAGTCGTGAAGTTGGGGTGTAGATGCTTAATGTTGCTCAGGGTTTCTTTGGGGTAAAAGCTTTTGGCAAATGAAGGTTTCGGTGAGCAGCCAATGTCACGGCTCCCGAAAACCTGCTGCAGGAACAGGTCCTGGTGATGAGGCAGGAGAAGGATGGAGTAAACACAGCAAGAGCCTGCCAGGCTTGCAGCAAGAAATGGTTGGGGCACTGGGGTTTTGTGTTGTTGTTTTACTTAGAAGAGTTACTGTGAAAATTGCGTTCTGCAAATGCAGATTACAGATATTAAACAATTTTCTAATTGGTCATGGAGCTAAGGCAGCTAATGGGGGGAAAAAAAAGCAGATTTTTTTTTTAATTGCTTATTTCGCATGGTGTTTGTGCTACACCTGTGCTTATAATGAGAAAGGAGAATTAGTCTAACCTTCTGCTCACATGATTCTAATTTTCATGGTTTGTACAAGATAATGATAAACTGATTTGCAACACCATTTGCTGGAGTTGAGGTGGGTTTTTTTTATTGGAAACGTGTAGAAAAATTGATCCAATACTGTCGCTGACAAAACACGACCTACTCAGGTGTAAGGTTTCCAGATCGGCACCTGGAATTGGTGCCTTTGAGCCCGTTTTGACAAGACAGGATTGATTAGAACTCAACATCTTGATTAATTTTTGTGGGAGTTTGGGTAACAGGAATCCATCAGGAAGGGGAGATAGGAGAAGACCAAAATCACTGCGCTGGTCTTTCATGAAGGCAAAACAGTCAGCATGGGGCGGTGGTTTGCAATTTTTCTTGTTACCGGTACAGGGGAACGGGTGGGCAGAGCTGATTCCCGCGGGAAGGTCCTAGTGGCTTTATCTCTGTGGTATGAGAGCTCCTGCTAAGCCACCCCAAGCAAAGGCAACAAAAACAAGCACCAAGTAGCCCTTTGTGGACTTCCCCATTGCGTTTCGCAAGCGCGGTGTGGTTTTACGCATGCTCGCACTTCTTCCTTTGCTAGTAAATATTGAGGCATACACGGTTTTATTATTCTTTTTCTCTCTCATAAAGAATGTAAAGTCTGGTTACGAGGCTTTGCCATGATTACATCTCGATGGAGATGTTTTCCAAGTGGTTATTAACTAAGCTTTCCAATGAGCAAAACCTTGAGAGAAGTTCTTTTAACACTCTTCGGACAGGTTCCCAGCCACGGTTTCGAGCCTCCAAATTTCAGTGCCATGAGAACCACATGCAGAGGAGACCAGAACACTTGTGATCCCCCTCCTTCTTCTGTTTCTCTCCAAATTCTTTTAAATATTCCTTTCCCAAATAAGCATGGCAAGACTAACTGAGGCAAAGAGCTATGAAAACGCAAGGAGCATAGTTGCAGATGGCTATTTTTAAAAACGACTGCCCCTCTTTTTTTTTTTTTTTTTTTTTATTTCCAAAGTTCTGCTTGTCATTGTTCGGGGGAAAATTTTCAGGAGTCCAGTAATTACAGTTTAACAAGATGTTTGCTGTAAATGGTCAGGCCTAGCTGGAGAAAACAGGATTATAAATTCAATTACTGTAAAGCTATGACCTCGCCTTGACCCCCTCCGACTTTGCATAAAGAGAGAGGAGGGGGGAAAAAAGCCCACCAAGAAACGGCGAGGAGGAATGCAGGGCTCTGAAGTCCCCAGCAGTGTGACTTAGCGGTGATAAAACTCCAGACGTTCCCTCATTTGATGGGCTTCTGCCATCACAGTTCATTATCTTAATAGCGGGCATTAAAAGGGAATTAGGTTTGCAAGAGGTAGGGGCAGGTTTCGATAGGGGAAAAAAAAATGGAAAAAAAGAAGTCGGGGGACAGAAGGCAGGAATGGCACTAATGAGGGGGAGGTGGCAGATGCCCTCACGAGCATCTCGCCGGCTTCACTCGTTTGGTTTTTTTTGTGCCCCGTTCTGAACTTTTTTCACTGGTATTGTTGCCTGAAAACTCGGCTAATTCCCCCATGAAAAGATGAAATGGAAGTGTCCGACTGTGGTAAAAAGCAGGCAAACATAAATCAGCTCGGAAGCCCCGAGCTCGTGCTCTCAAAGGTCATCGGGGTTAGAGGTTTGGCAGTATTTGCGTCCCCACGCAGCCCGACGGAGAGCAGCGCGGTGCGGCGAGAGGGCTTGGGGACGGGAGGAAGTCATCCCCTTTGATAACCGTTTGCTTTCCTCCTTTTTTTTTCCTTGCAGGTTTATTAACGCTAGAAGAAGAATAGTTCAGCCCATGATAGACCAGTCCAATCGAGCAGGCAAGTCCCCAATAGTCACTGTATTCGAGTCACGCAGGCGAAAACCATCCTCAAGCCATTCACTGGGAGGTCCATTACCTGGTAAATAAATGAGAAATGAATGCTGGGAGTGATTGACAATTAAAATACAACCAGCTTTGTTTCATTACAACCCTAACGATTTGAACATGATGAAAATATTTGAGGGGGAAAAAAAAAAAAAAGGACGTTGAAAATTAAAAAAAAAGAAACGAAAATGATCCGCTCCGTGAGCGGACTTTCCTTACGCAGTCGGAATTTCAGTTGTTTTTATTTTTTTCAGTAGTTGTTTTGAGTTTTCCTTCCCAGCTCTTTCTGCTCCTGTGACCACTCCCTGGTGCATGGCTTGGTGTGGAATTGCTGTAAACTTTATTACCTGTCAAAAGGGCAAAGGGGTCAGAATCGCTTGTGGGACTCAGTAAAGTTCAAAGGCATTCAATGAGGTAGAGCTTTATGTGCTTTAATAACCCAAGGCAGCTTACTTCTGAAGCCGGCTTTTAATGCACAGTTAAAACCTGGAGTTCAGGTAGTGGTGCTTGTATAGGGTCCTTTTGTCCCTCGGCTCTTCCTTTTAGTAGCTGTCTTTTGGGATCGCTGAGTGTTCGGGTTTTAATTTGGGGAGATTATTTTTTATTTGTATTTTTTTAAATCTGAAGTTTTCACGTGCCGGTTCTGTCTGGGGTCTTGGCTCGCAGCTCTGTGTGGGTATTTGCATTGAGGAATAGCCTATTACTCCCAGTTGGTTTCGTTTTCCGAGTCTCGCTGCCAAACTATCCAAATCCATCGTTGTCCGAGATGCCTTTGGGCCACGCTTCCTCTTCGAGTACATTCGATTATTTTGTCATTAGAGGTAAATATCTGGCACGGACGTGTTCAGGTCCTGCTCTTAGAAAGGCACACGGGCGTAATTTAACACACTGTGATTTCAGTGTGACTATTCCAGCCATAAAATCCGGCTCCTATACAGGTCTTTGCATTGACGTCAGCAGCGGCAGCAGCTGGAGCCGGGGCTCCTCGTGCCTTGAGATTTCGGATCGCTAACATCGTTTTCAAACTAGCAGTAGGAAATTAAGCCAAAACTAAGCAAGCTTGGCAGCCTGGCGGCTAAATTCGAACAGTAGACGTTTTTCCCTGTTTTTAGAGCCGGCATCGATAGCCGACTCGCGCAGTCCGTGGGTAGGGGGGTTGCGTCTCAACGCCACGAGAAGAGGTGACCCTTTTGTCTGTCGCTAAAAAGCAATGTTCTGCGCTTTTCCAGTAAGTCAAGGAACACCCTATAACCCCGACGGCCAGCCGATGGGAGGTTTCGTGATGGATGGCCAGCAGCACATGGGCATCCGAGCACCAGGTAAGCCCCCGGGGGAGCATCACCCACCGATGGGTGACGGCAGGTAACCGCACCTCCGCCCTCCGCCGTCCTCTCAGCTGCCTGCCTTGCCTCGCCTGTCTTCTGCCCACCTTCAACGCCGCCAAGGGGAACCAGGCATCTTCTCGCTCGAGTGGTCCTGGACCCTCTGGCTGTGCTGCGTTTTGGAAAGGGGCTTTTGGCACTATCTGTTGACTTTGCTCATTCTCTGGCGTCTTCTTGGATTTTTATCTCCCTCTAGGACCTATGAGTGGAATGGGCATGAATATGGGCATGGAGGGGCAGTGGCACTACATGTAACCTTCACCTAGGTAACCAATGGCAAAGCCAGGGGGAAGTAAGTACAAACGGGGTCTTTGTTCTCACTTTGTCCGAGGGATATTTGTCTCCTTGCATTTCCCTATGTTCTCCCTGCCCATAGCCTCATGCTTGTTCCTTCCTTTCCATCCATCCATCCTACGCCTGGGGCTCCTTCAGGTTTCTCTCCCTCTGGTTCAGCTCAAGCTTTCCGAGCTCCCAAACCCCCCGTGCACACGTGGGCGTGCGCGCGCCGCGCACCGACGCCGCCGTACATCGCCGCCGCCATACGTTGATGCTATTATCCATCCCCGAGCACATGACAAAACAAGAAGCAGCCGGGGAGGTGGGGGAGCCCGTCGTCTTGGCAACAGACTGATTTGCAAAATGTAAGCGGTCTGCAGCAGCGCAGGGAGAGGAAAGAGCATGTCCCCAAAGTGTCATAAATCTGTCTAACCGCAGTTGATGCATGAGTTACATTTCTCCCGCTAACCTGCAAGACACCAAAAAAGCCAAACAGAGACTTCTCGTAGGTTAAAAAAAAAAAAATAAATAAACGGCCACTTCACTTAGTTGCGTTTTGGAAAGCGATGGACGAAACTTTGATTTTTTTTTTTTTTCCAAGTTTATTTCCCTTTGTCTGTCCGTCATAATGGGATTACGTGTGGCAAAGGAAAAAGAGAGAATACAAAATAGAGGTGTGCGCAGCAGGCTATGGAGCTTAGCCCAGGCTAATTGACTATATCCAAATTAAGTATGCCATCACTTGCAGTGTGACAAATGGATTTGACTTATTCAGTATACAAAAATAGAGATCATTAATGCAATCTTCAGTGGCAGGCCTTGTGAAGAAAGCCTAGAAAAACTGTCCCAGTTTTTTTTTTTTTCCCCCCTCTTGTCTTTATATAGGGGAAAATACATTATACACATTTTTGTGTAAAAAATTTAAAAAAAAGAGTAAAGCGGTTTGAAACACCGAGGCACCAGTACCATGTATAAATGGTGGCTGATTCTGTTCCTCTCGCTCTTTCTGGAGTTAAAAGCAGTTATTTTGGCATCTTTATTGTGCCTCCAGCCTGTATTATCGTAGGGTTTGAAGTTACCCGGGCCAAGCGTGTTTCGTAGTCGTCTTCTCTGGGCGTTAGTCAAAACTAACTTTTAACAATTAGCTGTGAAAACATTCCTCTGAGCTTGGGAATGCAACAGCCTTATTACCTCATCATGGAAATTTCTAGCTTAGTTAATTTAAATATTGTTTCTTAGTTTCTGGGTCAATTAAATTTAAATGATGTATTTTATGCTTCGTGACCAATTAAATTAATAGGTTATTACAAAAAATATTATCATCTTTTTTGATTAAAGAGCTGTGAGTACAGTATATTTTATAAGCAATTTTCATTAGTTCAAAACTGTTCCTTTAGGCTAGATTAAGCAGCTATTCATTGCTAGAGCCTTGAGACCTGATTCCAAGGTGTTCGGCGCATTCACAGCGCGCTCTTACTTAGAACTAAAGCCAATTGAACCTACTTAGCAATAGCGTATGCCTTTCACCCTCGATGATTATGGAGCTTATAGCTCTCCGAAACAATACACCTGTCAGTTCCCATCAGCTACAGCAATCCAAGCAGAAGGCAGAGGCCCACGGAAAGCAGGAGGTTTTATTGTTTTAGGTCCGATTTTTTCCTTATTGTTCTCCCAAACCCACTGAAAGGTTGACTGAGTTGCGCTTCTGATTTTTTCGGACATAAGTGAGCAGGGGGAAGGAATTAATTGATGATTGTTATTGATTATATATATATTTTTTTAGCGTGTTTAAAAATACAGGTTTGATTTAACAATCGTCCTTAGTAATCCTATCAATTTCAGCTTCATATGAGGCCTTTGTTCAGCGATGTATGTGCTTGCTGTATAGCGTCTGTTTGAATGGCACAGACACTTGGGATGGATTCCAAGTGATGGGGCTTGAGACCTAAATAAATAACTGTTGATAAACCTCGGCACAGATTTAACCCATCTCTCTTCCCAAGCCCCTCATTAACCACTACGAATTCCCTGCCTTGTGTTCCCAGCACGCTTTTACAAGCAGGGAGACGAAGGCTGGAGCAAGGCCACGGGGGACGGAGCCCACCTGAGAGCCCTTGCAGGGCTTCCCCGCCTGGATGCCACCGCCCCGTGTGACGTTAGTCAGCATCGGGCTGGCGCTGCCTCCGGCATGCTTCCAGATCAGAAACGTCTCCATCGCATACATTCCTAACCATAAAAGCAGAAAGTGGTTTTCTCTCCCAAAACGCTGTATTTGGAAGGAGGAGGATGTTCTTGGGTTTTTTTCTTTGACCTGAGAATCATTCCCATTGCCGTCGTTGTGAGTCCATATGTAGGCTTGGACTCTGCAAAGGCAACCGCGCTCGCGTGCCCGTGACTCCGCGTCCCACCTTTGGCTCGAGCCCGGCCTTCCCATGCCCGAGCGGAGGAGCTTCACGGCCCGATGTCGGTAGCGGGTTCCCACCACTCACCGCTGCCTCTTTCTCTCTGCAGGGCTGCAAAGTATGCCAGGGGATTATGTGTCTCGGGGTAGTCCAATGGGTATGAACATGGGACAGCCAAGCTATACCCCACCCCAGATGCCCCCCCATCCTGCTCAGCTGCGTCATGGCCCCCCCATGCATACCTACATTCCTGGACACCCTCACCACCCAGCGATGATGATGCATGGAGGACCACCCCACCCTGGAATGCCCATGTCAGCATCAAGCCCCACAATGCTTCATACCGGCGAGCCGGCAGTGAGCGGACAAGTGATGGACATTCATGCTCAGTAGCTTAAGGGAAATACTCGTTGTCTGCAGCGACGGTAGATTTCAAACATTGTCTTTCTGCAATGACTATGGAGTTCTTGGCGTCAACTTTGGACCAAGGGACGTTCCGATTCTTCACAGGGACCCTGAAAAGCAGGAAAACACCGACCGAAGTCAACTTCTGGGGACATGCTAAATACCTATATAAGACATTAAGAGAACAAAGAGTGGAATATTGTAAAATGCTATTATACTGTTATCCATATTACGTTGTTTCTTATAGATTTTTTAAAAAAAATGTGAAATTTTTCCACACTATGTGTGTTGTTTCCATAGCTCTTCACTTCCTCCAGAAGCCTCCTTACATGAAAAAAAAGAAGCCTTACACTTATCCTGCAAATGACAGAAAGGGCTTATTTGCAGGATTTTTAGAGCATTAAAATAACTATGTCAGGCAGAAGAATCTTTCTTCTATCCTAGGATTTCAGCCATGCACACTCTCTCTCTCTCCCCTCTCTCTCAGTCTCGTCTTTCTTCCCTTTCTCTCCCCTTCTCCCCCGTCTCTCTCCCTCTCTCTCTTTCTAGCCTGGGGCGTGAATTTGCATGTCTAATTCATTTACTCACCATATTTGAATTGGCCTGAACAGATGTAAATCGGGAAGGATGGGAAAAACTGCAGTCATCAACAATGATTAATCAGCTGTTGCAGGCAGTGTCTTAAGGAGACTGGTAGGAGGAAGCATGGAAACGGAAAGGCAGTGTATTTGAAGCCTAATTGTCACATCAGAGCATCCTTGTCCCCATGCAGCAACCACCACCTTGTACATCACTTCCTGTTTTACGCAGCTCGAAACATGGACTGAAGATTTATTTTTAATATGTTGACTTTCTTTCTGGGCAAAACATCGGTCATGTGTGCATTTTTTTTTCCCCCCCATAGTCCCATCATGGAGCATTTATGTATACATTGTAAATAAATTTTGTGCAAAAAGGACTGGAAAAATGATCTGTATTATTGCAATTTTTTGTAAAAGTAGCAGTTTGGTATGAGTTGGCATGCATACAGATTTACTAAGTGGGATAAGCTAATTATACTTTTGTTGTGGTTAAACAAATGCTTGTTGATAGCCTTTTTCTATCAAGAAACCAAGGAGCTAATTATTATTAATAATAATCATTGCACACTGAGTCTTAGAGTTTCTGATTGAAACAGTTTGGATTGTATAATAACTCAAAGCCCAGTTGTAGTAGTTTGAGTGCAGTAATGAAATCTGAATCTAAAATAAAAACAAATTATTTTTTGTCATGGTGACTCCACTGCTTGCAAAATTTGTTTCCTGCCCCTTCTCCCCCCTTTCAGTATTTGTAGCCATTCTATCCCAAACTGGGAGCCGAGCAGCTACAAAATTCAGCTGGCTCCTGAGATGTACCTGTTGTTTGCTCTTTAAATATCGGCTTCGTATTTAAAGGATGTAAAAGTAACGCTACGCTGCGTAAAGAAACTTTCTTGGAACTTGCACTGTGAATTGTCAGGATGGGAACTGTCGCCTGTTAATAAATGTAATATCGTAGGGCATTAGCGGGCAGAAATTTGTAAAGAATATAACCCCCCCGCCCCCGCCAAATTACATTTCTAATACGCAGTTTAAATTATTTGAGCCGCTGACGTATTACGTTTCTTTCTGGAATTGAATGTATTAAGGAAGGGGGAAAATAAAACTTGGAAAACATTGCCCGGGCGATGCATATCTGTAAGCAGATGACGTGGTGGTGCGAAGGGCTGCTGGAGCTCTGCGAGCGGAGGCTGGTGCAGGCCGTCCTCTCCTCATTAACCAATTTCCTCGCACAGCTGTACTTTCTGCACCGCAGCCAGTGAGTTAAACAGCACCAAGGAGCCTGGGGAGGCTGCGACA